TCAACTGGGCATCCTTCTCCGACATAGATGCCTCGTAACGAGACTTTTCATCCTCTAAGGAAGCTATCGCGCCTTTCTTCAAGCTCAGCTCGTGTTGCTTCTTATCCAATTCATGCACTCTACCCCGGTAACTTTCTTCAGCAGCAATAAAGCTCACCAGCGCCCGTCCTAAACAACCTCGGGCGTAGCTGAACTTTTGATCGTCAGGCAGAGATGCAATTCTAGCATGAGTCTTCGGGTCCCACGACATCAAAGGGACTTTCGCCGCCTTAACCGCTTCACTGGGGACCCGATGGTTAATCGTAACTTTTGGCTCAGCGACTGTTTGGAACATCGAGAACCAAGGGTCAAACACCCCCTCCGGTAACGTCAGCTCTGCTGCTTTTTTCTCATTAATTTTGAGGAAGGAGTCCCTCAGGATAATCTCGGGTTCTTCCTCCTTCTTGTCTTTGCCGACACTAGTATTCGGCTTCTTCTTCATTCTTTCAGCCACATGAGATACACTAGATCTCTTACGTCGTTGGACTACATTCAAAACCGGCTCTTCCGACACCTCCCGCGAGATGTCGGTCTCCATAGTAGGCTCCTCTACCGACGTCATTACTTGTTGAATTGGAGCGACTTCAAGTGGTGGGACGTCGGTAACCAACGGCTCGCTTACGATCGCCGGTGTCGGTTCCACCCTTGTGGACGATGGTTCACCAACAGCACTTTGAGAACGGTTGGGATTCTTCTTCCATGACTTCAGAAGGTTCATGCGCCCGGCCATCTCTGTTGATCGAAGGTTTTTGTTTTTTCCGACCTTGTTCTTCAAATCAAAATTCGGATTACGCCTCCGGTGTTCTTCTGCCTCTACAGGATCTCCAATACCGAAGTATCCCAGCAGTGGATAATAAACTGTTACGATAAATTCAATGTTAGACCGACTTCTTTAATGTGAACGATAAAACAAAGTAAGCGAGAAAATTACCTGGTTGAAATGAAGAATCAAGTATCCCGGGAGACAAACCAGCTAGCTCTAATCGGGAATCTTTCACAAGCCGTTGATATCGTCGCTTATTGTGGGAAACTTCGAACAACTTATCCACCCGATCGTACAGTAAGCCTTCGAACTTGGGTTCTCTCTTTCCTGTTGGTTTTGCTACAAGGTCACAAAAGTCCACCTGTTAGCGAAAACAAAAAACAAGATATTAATAACCGAAATGAAGAAAATGGTGAACAACTTACAATAACCAGATTTAATAGCCATTGGAATACTCGTCCCATCAGCAAGAAGATCATTAGCAAAGTCGGGGCATTGCCAATCCCCACCGACCCACAACCATTCCTCTTGGAAGCCGTGCAATGTGTCGGGTACCTCCATTACTAACTCGCCAACCTTGACTCTTGGTTGGGGTTTACCGACAATGGAAAAAGTGAGAAGTGGGTCCGACACTTGTCTATCTGGGCTCTTCCGGAATGTAAACATGCTCCTCATATCCTTCGCCGACGGTAAATCCCAATTCTTTTCGGCGAAGAGCACCAGTAGTCCAATAATCCGCTTCCATGAATTTGGAGCGATCTGGCATATCGGAAACTCCCAGTCCCGCAAATATTCAGTGATTATGTGCGGCAAAGGGAACCGCAACCCTGATCTCAGACTTTCGGCGAACACGCCGACGCAGTTAGGTGGAGGACATGTAATTCTCTCACCCGGGTATGGAGCAAACAAATGTACCGACGTAGGGACTCGGATTTCACTCCGCAACATAACAACGTCGGCATCAGTAAGGATACTCGGTTCACCATGGGATGTAAGTTCGGGGTCCGGCCATCTCCTAATGGGTCGCCTCCAGAATCTTGAGTCGTCGATGGCGTTTTTCTCTACGATTTTGTCCCCCTCGCTATCGTTTAGCCGAATATTCAATCGTTCGACAAATACCGGGTCCCACCGGTTATACTCAGACAACAATTCCATCTCCCCGGAGTGGACCATGTTGATCATCATCACATCCAGTTCATCGTCACCAAAAGACGCCCACGATACACTCATGATGTCGAGAAAAAGAAAGAGAGGTCGGAGTAAATAAACAAAATACAAAGAGAAATTCTTACCACAGGAAGTAGTTCGTAGATCTGGGATGCTTTGAGTACAATTGAGAGACGATTGATTCACAAGGAATGCAAAAAAGACGATTGCAAGAAGAAGATGAAAGTAAAGTAGATCTCAAGAGAAGATCTCCTATTTATACTAAGCCCTGAATTCAATAGTGACCGTTGGAAACCAAAAGAAATACGGGTGCGTGGGCCAAACGTTCTTAATTCGCGAGTCGACGCAACTCTTGAGAATCGTGCCTATTATCAACGGTTACGTGGCCTAATAAAAAAGTCCGTTACCCCTATCAGTAAACGTTGCAATTAATCTTAATAAATTGCGCCGTTTCAACTCTCAGTATTATTTCTGCCAAGTGTAAAGATACCGAAAAAACATTCGCAAAACTGACATGTCTCCCTTGCCAAAGATTAAATGGGTATCAGGGAATTTTCAGCATCACTGCTCGTCTCTTTCAAGACAACCATTAATGCTGGGGGCCACCTTGTTGACATCATTTTCAGTAAACCGAATTAAGCGACACTGACCACTTGATTATGTTCAGTAGAAGGATGATCGAAGTCGCATAAAGTAGGTGTTGCCTTTACGGATCTCAAGGTTCTGACGCTAATTTCAAGACAATCACTTGTCGGGTAAAAATTCATCAAGAACTGACATCGTCGTCGATTGACCAATACCTCATGTCGGTTATGATATGTCGGTTACTACATGTCAGATACGACATATCGGTTATAACTGCTCGAACCGATATCTATGACTCGCTAGACCGACACCACAAAGCGGTGCCAACTCAGCACAACTCATCATTACACCTGGCCAAGTGGCACGTTATTAAGATGAATGGCAATTAGTCGTCGTTGACTATTCTTGTGTAATGATTACGTACTAGATAAATGTTGTAAATAAATATAAAAGGAGAAAACAGTTCTCCAATCAGCGAAGAGACAGGCATACACAATAATATTCAAAAAAGTTCCATCTCCTTTCACTGATCATATAAGCTTTTGTCGATTTATTTTAAGTTTACTACAAAATCCCTGTCGATTACATAGTTGTTAATTTTCATTTGACAACAAGTACAAAAGAATAAATAAGAAGACGAGGACAACCTCTTAAATCTCAATTTTTTGATTAGATGAATTAATTAGAATAATTAAACAGACGAGGACATCTATTTAATTTTAATAAGCTTAACAAGGAAAAATGTCGGGCACTACGACCAAAATACAAGCGAGGTGAATAATAATAATATTAAAGATAACAAATAATAAATTTAAATAATCATATAAATATTATTGATAAATATAATATTCTGAGAAATCCTATAAATCGAACGGGGTGTTACAATCTATCCTCCTTAAAATATTTCCCTCCTCGGAAATACAAAAGAACACGCATCTAAAGGAAAACGACATGCTCGAAAAGCATACACTCACGTACAGGACTCAATCCGACTCGCCCTATGCTCATATGTTTGCCTTATTGCATGGGAGGGTGATCAATCCTGTCCGAGCTCAGGCGCACATCCTCTTGCAAGGGTCCCAGTCCGGCTTGGCCTATACCCATGAATATCAATAATTAACCTCGTACCTAACAACACACTAGACCTCAACACGTCGTTCAGTGTATTGCCAGCGTACTCCGACTATCTCGCCAACAAGGTGGACGTGTGACGCCAAGTTCTAGTCTCGTGCCCGAGTCATACTGATAACTTGCTCATGATTCTATCACGGACCGAGTGTCTCCATCAGAGACTATGAAACGGTATACAACACATCCCAGATGCTCATACCCACACAATATTCACTCCACGAGTCGAACGCAACCCTTATGTGCAAACATAAGGATTGACCAATAGCAATACGACATTCCCAATTTGCCCACTCGAGAAACTCTCAAATAAGACATAGAGACTCATGACTTCTCTCCTTAACCAAGAATCATCGATTAAGGATTTACACACATTTAGTGGGACTCGGAGTTCTCGGTTCAAGGTTCGAACGAAAGGGGTTCAAAATGATAACCAAGTATTCCAGTATGAAACGGTTTAAACATTTCAGGAAAAAAATCGATGGTTGGCCATATACGCTGGCATGGGGAGTTCGTGCGTACGGTGATGGCGACTGCAGTTTGCATGCGGGTCAACGGGCGGCTGCGCGCAAGACTCCCGTCTCTCAGCATGGTCATGCGTGCTCGGCCACCACTTCGCGTGGCTACACCCAGCCAGGGCCAGTGTTTGGTTCGAGGTTTCACAAGAAGGTTACAATCTTAGATCACCCAAAGAAATGGTTTTACAAATTAACGAAATTTTTGGGTCCAATATATATTTCAATCGTTTCACAATTTCAAGGGTTTCAAAAGTTTCAAAGATAAAAAGTAGCATGTTTGAGCTCCAAGTCCACTGGCTCCTCACAACGACACAATCTAATATGCGAAGAGATCAACAATTGAGATAGACGAAAATTCTCAAAGAGATTCTAACACGGTTATTCAGTCGGGAATAATCCCAAATCAGCAGCTCCTACTGAGAGATACAATAACTAGCTTGCCTCGATTTTTCTTACTACTAGCGTCGACCGTCACGTCAGCTCCCCCAAAACTCCGAAATAAGTAAAAGAACGGGATTTCCTGAAGACTACGATGAACATAATTCAAAACCATGAAGGTTCTGCACTCACGATGTGCTTGCTCTGGACTCATCTATCCTCCTTAAAAGATTTTTGCATAATCTTTTAAGGTGGAAAGAAACACTCCTTGATATGAGTCAACTCACTCCATCTGAAGTTCTACGCCAGGAAGGGAATGATCAAGCGAAATTATCAAAACACTAAAATTGGCTAACGAAAGAAGCTTCAAGCACAACTCAAATTTGTTTATCATGCAAAACAGCAAGGGTTTGCAAAAGTCTATAAGAAGACAATAATTCGATAAGGGAAAAAAGTTGCCTCGCATCCACGAGTCCACGATTTACCGCCTCCTTCATCTGTTCAAGATGTTCCCGGTAGGTCCTGCTGCTAGGAAATCACTCGCAGCTTAATATAATGAAGAGAATTTTCGCAAAAGAATAGGTCATCGCCGCCTTTGACTGGATTCTGATCACGCATCTAATGGTCCTATCAACAACGGTTACAGACTCCCGAATACCCAAATAACTGGGACTCCTTCGGTCGTCTGCTCCCTTCATTTAAGCCTTCTCCTTTCGAGATGGCATTGCGAATGGTCCTCTCTTGAGGACATCAAGTCTTATAGCAAAAGCACTGCTGTAAACAGAATTTAACTCAATAACATTGAATCGAAATTCTAAACAAATAACCTCTCAAGTCGAAACTTAACTATATACCGCTAGAGTTCAGGTTCATACAACTAGTTCGCCACTTATCTAGAGTTAAAAAATGCTTTAACGCAAGAGGATAAATTTCTAAGCCCCGATTTCATATCAATAATCAATTATTGCACAATCATCTAAAAAAATCAATTAGGTACGCATACCTGAGCT